ATCTCTTCCACAGAAACGGTACATCCCTGGGACATTTTCGGGCTGAAGAAATTCTGTAACGTTTATTTCTCACATTAGAAAGTAGATTCTTCCGCGACGTATAGTGCCTCCGTAACATTAAAAACATGAAAAAAGTTGGTGTCGCCGTCCTGTTGGGACAGTTGCCATTGCGACCCGGAGAGCGCTACAATCTGTTTCAATCAGAGTCTCACCGGAGCTGAACAGATGGGAAGGGCGATACCACTGCAAGACGAATAGGGGGGTCCGACTACTTAGGTCGATATGTTAAACTTTCTGTGAACATAAATAGTAGCTACAGTGGCGAGCATATTTGCCTCTTTTGATAATAGCCTGTAACTGTTAAACCTCTTTTCAATTGTGTTTGACTGTTCGGTTTAATAGTAATCTCCCACAGTAAATAGTCCCCAACGGATTGATAATGGCCTCGCCGTTTAAAGGGAACCATTGTAAATGGTGAATAACTGAAAACTAAAGCATTAAAACCAGGTATGGCCCTACAGCTTAAGTTCGTTTATGTAATGTCTTGCTGTAGGTTTTAATTGAGTCCGTCGATATTACTTTAGGTAAAAATTCCTGACTGTGAAAGCTTTTTTCCCCTATTGTGAAACGAACACCCCTTTCACTTACAGCAGTCCGAAACTGTCGTTCAGTTTATTACTCAAGCACAAGTTTCAGGTACATCGAGATTTTGTAAACACTTTAAGGGACGTTTACTGCACAAGGACTCCCTCTATCGTAATGTTAGAGAAGTGCATGCTATGGCACAGCGGAGGCGCTGAGCGCACTCAAAGCAAGTTCATTTTATTCTGATGTCTAGTGTTTATTTGTGTGTGTTTTACTTTTATTTTTGCAAGACAATAAAATACAAGATGTATAATTTTAACGTAGTATAACAAACGTTTTCATTTGATGCGTAAAGCATGCGTAGGAAACCAGCATAAATTTTCAGGCATTACCGTACACTAAACTGCGAAATTTAACATAGTGGCCCCGTGTGCAGGCCCACTCTTTGGTCTGAAGGTGGTGCTCCTGAATTTAAAAAGAAAAAGGAAAAAAGGGGGGGAACATATATACAAACTTTACATGAACGTAAATGTATGGCACATAATACATCACACTTTCTATTCTATAATGCGTGCACTAATTAAATGCAATAGCAAGCATTTTCCATAAACGGTGGCAGTGGACAGTAATTTAAATATCCTTACCTAAATATCTCCCCACCAGCCTAGCAGTTTAAGTTCAAGCCCATCTTCTTTTCCTAAAGACAATCAGTGCGGTGCCAGTCTTTGCAATGAACAACTGACATTGACTGAAGTTTACAAAAGTTTTTCATGCTAACATAATACCTAAAGAAGCATTGTAGTAAAGTAAATCTCCAAAAGTTGATTCTGTTCATCTGGACGTAGCGTTTTGTGGGAGAAACGTTTGAATCGAGGAGGGGGCCTAAGGGTACATCTGTCACCATCTTACAATGCTGTGATTGCAGCCATTCCCCAACTCTCTGTGAATGGTACTCATGGCCATTGATCAGTGGGATTGGATCAATGGTTGTTGATCAATGGTCATGAGAATTTGCATAATTATGATGACGGAACTGACCTCCCAGCCCATTGTTCCTCAGTGGGCTGGTTTCAGTCATTATGCAAATTTACTGTTTATAAGATTGAAACCTGCAGTCAGCTGAGACTGAAGACGTCACCTGGATGAGTGACGAAACGTTTCTCCCACAACACGCTACGTCCAGATGAACAGAATCAACTTTTGGAGATACCAACACCACACACAAACTGAGTAACATGGAGTTTTAACAGGCCATGGTTAAAAGAGCAGAACAGTCACTTGTCATGACAGTGCAATATATTGTGCTGTGAAGTGAAACCAACTAACCATCCAATTCACAAACATAAGATTATATTGTTAATGGGGCTACATAGCTGTTAAGGCACAATTTGGTTACAACTGCTGCACATCCCTCAATAAAGAGGGCAGATTTTCATTGAAGACTAAAGACTAGTCTTTCGATAGCCCTCAGGGAAATAAATAAGCTGATATAGGCTGGATCTTTTTAGCTCTTTGGGGTAATAAAGTGGTATAATGAGACAGCAGTACTCTGAAGAAATTGATGAGTCTAAGACAATGTTTAGGCTCAAAATCTCCCAGCAAAGGGTTGGATTTTAAGAAGAGTTGAGCACATTTATTCACTTCACCTGTTCTCAGTGTGATCAATGTACACTGATGGTGCTGTAGTTCCAATCTCCAGTGAGATTGGAATCAAAAGGCTATAAAAACCACATGAAACATAGTGATTCCTACTTTTTCTGTTTGCTTTGTTGCTGGGGGGGAGGCAAGGAAGAACATCAATACTGAGATGTAAGTAAACATATTTACTCACCCTTTGCAGCAAATATTTCCATGCCTTGTATGCATATAAAAGGGGAAAATTCTAGTGCCTCTACCTACAAAGTGGAAGCACTGCACATTCACACAGGTGGTGTCACGGTCTGGCTGGCAGACCGTGGGGAAATGGGGAATGAGGACCCAGGCGCAGTGCTCTGTGTATAAACAGTGTGTTTATTTACAGTGATGGAAAAACATGATAATAAATCCCGTGCTCTCCCGACTCCCGTGACGTGTCCTCTTCCCAGTGTTAGTGCTCCTGTCTCCGCTTCTCTGTGATGAGCGCCCCGTGCTCGCTGCCCTCTCGTCTCCCGCTACTCCTGGGACATAAGAGAGAGGCAGCTGTCAGACACACAATAATGCAGGAGACTCAAACTAAGAACTGGTCAAGAGACTAACGTGAAGCCACGCAATGATCCAGCATCGGAGAGAGCTCCACCACACTCTCAGGTAGCTCCTCCGACAGGCCTGATCAGCAACAGGTGTGTCAAGGTCTTCAGGTGTGGCTAATCACCTGCCAGGGCCACACCCACACACACACACACACCTACATGCACATATGTCTACAAGCAGGGAGAACGAGGGACAGCAATACAAAATACATACATTATAATATTAGTCCATAACTGCTCAGGGTACCTGGGTCGCTCAGACCCGGGTACCCTGACAGGTTGTTTCAGTTTCCGTGGTTGATTAGACTTCCAGTCGGAAGTAAGCTGGTTAACTTAACAATCCATAGAAGCTTTCAATGTAGGTAAAATAAGCAAAACCCCTTTCACGGGTGAACTATGGGTGTTAAGACATACAATATCTAATAGTCATATATAAAGGATCACGTACTGTTGCACATATTGTTTTGGTTTGCTTCCCCTTACTTTGCAACAGCATTTTAGAGCTGCATATACTTGATGACACCACTTATAACAAACAAATATATAATACAAGCATCTATTTTCTCTGATGATCAGCACATACTTTATGTGCTTTTCAATACCACATAAAGTAGTGTTTGCGTGTGATTTTGCTAGTCTTATTCTAGTAAAACATATTTATTTCATTACTGAAGGATAAGAAATAGACCAACTTATTCCAAAAGAGTATGTGATGCATCAGAACTAGTCTGTTTGTTTGTTATGCACTTCATTATATCGTTACCATGGTCCCATATTTTACTGTTTTATTCAATACTAGCAGTATTTCAGCATGCCAAGGTATAATTAGAGGATAGAAAAAGTATTTCTTAACCACATATTATTGTTTTTTGTTAACAAAAAGCAATTGCTCACATATCAACAGAGTTAAAGACAGTCATTGGGTCTGCTTTCTGTTCCTCACACCCACCTCCATACCTCTGTGGGCAGAGCCTTCAGTGTGGCACCCCCCTCTGTAACTGTAATCCCATCTGAATCTCTCCCACCTGAGCTTTGCAACATCCCATCATAAGAAACTTCTCAAATCTCACCTGTTCAAGAAGGCCTTCAACCTCTAGCCTTTTTGTTTATTTATGTTCTTTGTAAAGCATCATTGAGTTTCTTGAAATGCACAATAAAAATCAAAGTTATGATTATTATTGTTGTTTTTGCTGTTATCATAAATTGTACTTATTCATTTCTATTTTCTACAATAAGGTCTAGATTTCTAAAAACTGAAACCTCTCGTAATGATGTAATTTCTCTATTCTAACTGAAACTAAGTCTTTCCATACAAAAGTAAACACTACATATCTAGGCAATAATCAGTTTTCTATTTCCACCACATTTGTGCTCTTTTTTCTAAACTGACGGCATAACCACAAGTTTTTTAAGAGTGAAAGCCGAGTTTGAAAATATGTGCTGATGAGTGAACGTCATTGATAGTAACTGCTTTTCCATTAAGAACGATCAATATTTGAATCAATTCTCATGAAAAAATGGCGTAAGGGCAATGAGCAGTAGCTGCCATGATCACATGCTCCTTTTTTCTTTTTTTAAATCCTGTAATTGCTTTTTTCCCCAGATTTTTCAGTAATGGCACAAACTGTGTGCATTGTGCCATTGGATACAGCTATTAGTAGTAATTGTAAGTCTGTGAACATTAATTGCATTCAGTGCTCCTGGACGTATTATGTAATAGCAGGACTAATGAATAGGGAGCTCATTACTGGTGAGCAGCCTTTTTTGTTTCAGTTCACGTTCTGTGTCGTGTTTATTTATACAGTACGTAGAAGTAATACACACTGAGGTATAATTGTGAGTATTAGTCTCTGCAGTGTCTGTTGTGCGTCCTCTAACAGCAGCTCCACAGGCTTGAGTTTATGTCTAGTTGTGTTAGTGCAGAGCTGCGTTGCTGGGCTGTGTCAAGCAGAGAGTCACCATAAGAGGGAGGGATTTAGGCAGCAGGACAATACTCGTGTTTGTGCAACGGCCCCTGAGTGGCGGCTGGCTCTCTCAGATCGCTCTCGCTTGACTACCATTCCTGGATGCATTGTTGAAGTGAAAGGAAAGCGGACAGCCTGATCCTGCTTGTGGGATGCTGCACCAGAGGTAGGACCAGCGTTTCTTACTGCTGCGTCTCTGTGATGGAAGAAAAGTGAGTTTCTTGGAAGCTGTCTCGTGGGGCTTGTGCTTCTGAACTATGTGAGCCGGGTGCTCTAGTGCAGTTTCTGGGGGAAGTTGGAGGTTGGCTGGGGTTGAGGCACCCTTCTCTGTGTTTTGGCAGGGTCACTACTGTTCGTGAATGGATCTAAAAGAAAGTTTCACAGAAAGAGGCTCAGTGAAAGGCATGTGTAGAATGTAGCTATGCGCTGGCAACGGAAAAAGACAGTGTTCAGAGACAGAAAGAAACACTTTGGGATGAAATTGCTGAGGTGACATCAAAAGATACAAAATGTTGTATCTCAAAGTTTTTTAAATCTTCGACAACACGACAATGAAGGATATAGTTGAGGTTTACAGTGGTAAAAATAGAGATGGAGTGGAGGCGGAGAGATTACGAGAGAGATTAATTAGGGAGATGAGGAATTGGGGTATGCAGGGAGTGGAAAAGACAGAAAAAGGACGCCTAAAACTGAGAACACTGTAAAGGAAGACAAGAACTGGGTCCCCAGGTAAGGTTTCAGCAGCATTTGTACTATCTGTAATATACACCACTGAAGCTAGACTGCAAACCACTGAACTAAAAGAAAGGGGGGGGGGAGCCTGTGAGATATTTTTCCAAACCACTCAAATCTCCTCTTCAGCCTTTTGTAGCTGGTGAACTGCAAAAATAATACAGAGAATACTCCCATTTTCAGCTCTGCCCTCCTGGCCGGAAACAAATACTCTTTATCCCTTTTAGCTGGCAGATTAGAGAGACTCAAGATGTTCTGTCTTAGTGTGGTAGTCCCAGAATATGATACGATTCAACTTTATGACTGACTGGATTTTATGCAGCCTGACATTCAATGTGAGGTGTGTCAGTCCCTCATTGTAACCATGCCCTCCTATTAGGATAAAACACCAAAGAAAAAGTCTCATCAGGAGGGCTTTGATATCTGGAAGGAAGAGATTGGTCTTACTCTACATGAATCTGCATTTGTCTGTCCAGACAGTGGAAGAACGGCCGGGTTTTTGTGTGAAGTACAACACAGCATAACAACTGGCCAGAAGACACAGATTAAACTCTGGTGGGTCTGACCACAACAGGAAAGGAGGGCGTCCATCCCTCACATACCAGGGAGAGGAAGAAGAAAACGGTCCATTTCTACCACTTCAAAGGACACTGCGGGGTGCATTTGTGGCGTGAAAGGACAGGTGAGGGTTGAACTACAACGACAACTCTGGGCTGTGGACCGAAGTGTGGAAAAGCAGGGCGGAGAGGAAGACGACGAAGAGGTGGGATAAGAAGAGAGGCAGGTTAGGCGTGGAGCCCAAACACAAGCAGGATGGGAGAGAAGAAAGTTAGGTAAGTAATGAATCCTGTTTGTTTGGTCTAATAAAGAGGTTTTCACCAAATGGAAGCAACAGCTGTGGTAATATTTATCTTTTATGCTCTCTTTGTGTGTGGACTGGTTGGGAATCCCCTCCCCTCCCTCTGTGTGTCTACTTTGTGACTCTGATTTGTCGTTCGCATGGCTTATTTTCGTGGCTGTGTGTAAATTGTTCTGTGTCTATGTTGATCCCTTCGCAGTCTCCCTGCTAAGCTGATTAATGGGGGCGTGGCAGGCCTGGTTGGTGTGACATGTGTATTTCCTATAGATCTGGCCAAGACCCGCCTACAGAACCAGCAGGGTATCCAAGTCTACAAAGGAATGTGAGTGGGGTTTCCTCAGCCGGGGGTTAATATGCTAATCTGATTGATCTGTCAGATATAAAGTTTTTTTGTTTTATGCTTTAAATTATTTTAGTTATTGGTACTAATTAAGAAAAAAACATACGAGCTGCTTACAGATAATTGTATTTTGTGGAAATCAGAATCAAAGTTAAATATTTTCCTCCTGATGTAATTCGAACTGCACGCAACCATGTCTGACATATTTCTCCACAGAATCTCAACGGGTGGAGCAGTAGAGTAAAATGTGCTCTCTCCATATTTGCGTCTATGTTTTGATGAGTTTGTACAGAGCTCATTGGGGTCATGGTCGTGCATACTGATGGACTCTAAACATCTATTTAGTAGATCAAGAGATCAAGATGAAAAGGGAGTTTGGTGTCCTTAAAAAACACATTGACCCTAAAGAGTTAGCTGCACACATCTGGTGGGCATCAATACTGCTGGCTGGTGGGGCGTGCCTTTCCTGTGTTTAGTGGCTTGTGATTTTCCAGAGTGAGTCAGACATGTAAAAATAGCTTGAAATATTCCTTTAAAGGGACAGTTACAAAGTTGGCATTTGGAAATAAAACAGAGAATCTGAATATAATCACTTTCTGTAGCCGTATTTGTTGTAAAGCCAGAGTAGAGGGCTGGGTTATAGGACAAAGGCAACATGTATGACTGTAGAGTCCGTTGTGAAAGATCTGGATACTGCTATGGCTATTTAATTAAGAGTGATTTTCACTTCTTCTTTGTTGTCTTTAAAGGCTTGACTGTTTGGCCAAGACGGTGCGCTCAGAAGGCTATTTTGGATGCTACAGAGGTATTCTTTGCATTTCTAAGTACTGTGATAAACAACACTGTAACTGTAAAAGAAATCTCACCACCTACGCCATTGTTTCTCCTGCATGCTCTAAATCGTTTTATCATTATAGCGATTACCTACTACCCCAGTTGGAAAGCCATAAGCTGTTTTTTAGTTTTGTTCTATTTTTGTACTTTAAGCATTGCTGTTAATAGTCAGTTTGTTTACCTCCAGGTGCAGCGGTAAACCTCACTCTAGTTACACCTGAAAAAGCCATCAAACTGGCTGCCAATGATGTCTTCAGACAGAAGCTCTCTAAGGATGGGTAATGTAGCTTTTGTTGCTCACTGAAGTTATGTGATGTAAAGCTAAAGCATAAGTATGGCTTTCAGTGTCTTATACGATTGTATATTGACCATTTAATTTGTGCACCATGTAATAAAGTAGGATTTTCTTCAACATGAAATAGTCTGTTGCCTCTGTTACATTCTAGCATTGATACATTCTAACATGGGTACATTCTAGCATGGATACATTCTAGCATGGATACATTCTAGCATGGATACATTCTAGCATGGATACATTCTAGCATGGTACATTCTAGCATGGATACATTCTAGCATGGATACATTCTAGCATGGATACATTCTAGCATGGAACATGGGTACATTCTAGCATGGGTACATTCTAGCATGGGTACATTCTAGCATGGATACATTCTAGCATGGATACATGGGTACATTCTAGCATGGGTACATTCTAGCATGGGTACATTCTAGCATGGATACATTCTAGCATGGATACATTCTAGCATGGATACATTCTAGCATGGGTACATTCTAGCATGGGTACATTCTAGCATGGTACATTCTAGCATGGATACATTCTAGCATGGGTACATTCTAGCATGGGTACATTCTAGCATGGTACATTCTAGCATGGGTACATTCTAGCATGGGTACATTCTAGCATGGGTACATTCTAGCATGGATACATTCTAGCATGGATACATGGTACATTCTAGCATGGGTACATTCTAGCATGGTACATTCTAGCATGGATACATTCTAGCATGGGTACATTCTAGCATGGTACATTCTAGCATGGGTACATTCTAGCATGGGTACATTCTAGCATGGGTACATTCTAGCATGGATACATTCTAGCATGGATACATTCTAGCATGGTACATTCTAGCATGGATACATTCTAGCATGGGTACATGGATACATTCTAGCATGGATACATTCTAGCATGGGTACATGGATACATTCTAGCATGGATCATTCTAGCATGGGTACATTCTAGCATGGATACATATTTAAATATATATATGTGTGTGTGTGTATCAGAATCAGAATCAGAACCAGAAAGGGTTCTATTGCCAAATGTTGAGCAGGTTTGTCAGACAAGTAAATATAAAAATAAGAATTAAAAGTGCTAAGTAAATAGTAGACACACACACACACACACACACACACACACACACACACAACACACACACACACACACACACACACATATTATATATTATATATATATATTTATATATATATGTATATATTATATATATATATTGTATATATATATATGTGATATATATATATATGTATATTTTATATATAGTAGATATTATATATATATATATAGATAGATATAGATATAGATATAGATATATATGTATATGTATATATATGTATGTTCTAGTATGGATACATAATATCCACAGTCTTTGGCAACATCTGGCCAAACTCAGGCTTGTATATAAAGGGCAACTACAAAAACAACCAACAATGCACATCGAAATGCTAAATTTATTAAAGTACGGCCCTTACGCTATTACACCACAGAGACTCACTGGTCATACGCCTGCATATTTCTGTTACCGACACTATTCTCTGTCTGCAGGAAGTTGCCGCTATGGGGGGAGGTACTGGCAGGGTGTGGGGCTGGAACCTGCCAGGTGGTGGTAACCACACCCATGGAGATGCTAAAGATCCAGTTACAAGATGCAGGAAGGCTCGGTGAGGTCTTTACTGGATTTAATATTAAACTACCGGGAAATATTTCTCAGAGATTATTATATATAACCAAATACAACTGGACTATACATTGGAACAAAGTCTATATGGAGAGCATCACGCAGTTGTTGCAGATTTATTAGCTGCACATACATGATGCAACACCCCCCATTCCTCTAAATCCTAAAGTGGCTCTATTGGAATGAGAGCTGATGACTTATGGAGGCCATTTGAACACATGTAGTGTTGTACTGCTTGAAGAAGCCATCAGAAGATATGTATATTGTTATCAAAAAGGGATGTACATGTTCAGCAGAAATACTCAGGTAGGGTGCAGCACTTAAAATATGCTCAATTGTTGCTAAGGCAACATTTTTCCAATCTTCTGCTCTCCAATTCTGGTGAGTCTATGTGTAGTGCAGCCTAAGATTCAGGTGTTCTTGGTTGTACCTAGCAGATTTAAGTTACTGTTGCTTGAAACAGCCTGACCATTCTGCAGACCATGTCTACATCCCATAATGCACTGAGCTGCTGTTATGTGACTGGCTCATTAGAAATTGACATAATAAAGTGTCTGGTAAGTGTAAGAGGATGTGATGAGGATACAGTAAAGCATGTCATGTCATTTCAGATATTGTTTGTTGATTGATGAATTGTGCATTCAATGACAAACCCAAAGATGTGCTTATTATTATTTTTATTATTTTATCTTATTTTTGCCTCATAACTTTTGCACTGTCCACGTCCTGCTGTGACAAAACAAATTTCCCACGTGTGGGACTAATAAAGGTTATCTTATCTTATCTTATCTTATTAACAAAAATCATTTACAGCATCACTGTTGCAGCATTACAGTAGCCTCCATGTGTTTTCTTACTGGGGAAATCTGTTTATCCATTAGCTGCACAAAGGCCAATGGCAGCTCCAGCACAGGCTGCTGCTCCTGGGCCAGCCCCATCGCTGGTGGCCCCCTCTTCACAAGCCCAATCAACCCCACCACCACGACCCTCAGCCACAGGCATCACCATGGAGCTGCTGAAGACTCGTGGCCTAGCTGGTCTCTACAGAGGGGTAGGAGCCACCTTAATGAGGTAACGCACACCCATAAATAAGTGAATGAAGTAGTCACTGTGACCATTTTAACAACATTCTGTTCACATTAAATATCAATTCAAAAAAGTCATTTTCCAACTTTTCAATTACTTTGAATAAGGAAAACACTTCTATTGCATTTTTTCATATATATCCATTACCCTATGCTTCATGTTGAAGGCTGCCATACACAAATGTTTAAAGGACACAGTCTCTTCCTTTTAAAGTGTTCAAATGAGCTGCTTTTAGTTTTTAGATTTTGCATAACTCGTACTGCGGTTGTTGTCTGTGACATCTCTGCTAATCAACACTAATCAATACATTCCTGCAGCTATGTCTGTCTGCTATGCTGCAGTTTAACAGGTTCATGTGTCTCCCGTGACCCAGTCATATTTTTTTCCCCACTTATCCTCTTATCTTTCAGGGATGTCCCCTTCTCTATGATCTACTTCCCCCTGTTTGCCAACCTTAATGCCCTGGGCCGGGAAAGTGCAAGTGGGCAGGCTGATGTGCAGGCCCGGGCGCCGTTCTGGCAGTCCTTTGTGGCAGGCTGCTCCGCTGGCTCAGTGGCAGCTGTGGCAGTTACACCGCTGGATGGTGAGTGGGAGTCAGATACGAGTATATACCTTCTTCATGTTGCAATACTTCACTCCAATATAATATTTATCTTATTAGACAAGACTATTTTACTTACATTATAATTATTTATGTTAATGCAAGTGTGCAACAGATTCACATAATAAAGTTTATAAGAAATCAAATACAACCTTGTTAATTTTAACACATTCAGAGTTTGGCTGCCTCATTTGTTCTGGTATCAGCACCGGCTTATAAATGCCAAATTTTAGCCAATTATCTATGATGTAAACTCAGCATCAGATCTGTATGTCTATCACTCTATCTATAAAATGTCTTGTTAGTTTAATTAGTTAAATACTTCTACTAAACTTAAGTTTCTTCCAAACACCCAAACAGTAATAAAGACCCGTCTGCAGACCTTGCAGAAAGGTGCCGGGGAGGATACATACAGAGGAATTCTGGACTGCACAACGTAAGCTTATAATGCCACATCTGCTTCCACAATAGAGTTTTTATAAGCGTAACCAGCCCAGTAACACTGCCTTTCTTGTATTTCTTGCCTTTTCCTCTCTGATCCCTTCGCAGGCGCATCATGAGGCGAGAGGGTCCATCAGCATTCCTGAAGGGTGCGACCTGTCGTGCTTTAGTCATTGCTCCTCTTTTTGGCATTGCCCAGGGTGTCTACTTTCTTGGGGTAGGGGAGACAGTACTAGGGTTGTTGGGATAGCAATGCTAAGTACCAGTGGCAGCAGTCATGTTGTTTCTGTGCAGATAATATGCTGCTTTTGTTACTCAGTGAGCAGAGAAAACAGAGACAGAGGAGAAATACAGCCACAATCCACTAACCAAAGGAAGAGCAATAGTCAGAATATGCATGAAAGAAGCTTCATTTACTAATATGTGGACTACCGGGTTCACACTAATGTTTCTCTAGGTTTTCACTTGCCATAAGCAGGATTCTGTAGGTTAAGCAAGGTCCTTTGTATGTGTATGATTAATGTGAGGATTGTGTCCCAAGCTGGCCTGGTTATCCCAGGGTAGTTCCTGCCAATATGCCTGGGCTTAGTCCTTTCACCTGAGAGAGATCTGTTCTTTTCTGGGACAATTGGTGCATGTTGTTTGAGCCTGCTAACTCAAATGCCAGCCAATCCAACAGTTTCTTTGGCCTGTGCATCAACTTTTTAAGAATGTCTCCTTTCAAGCTTCATCTAAAAACCCTTTACAGACATGGAATATACAACATCGCTGGCCTCACTCTTTTTTTTTTTTAAAAAGAGCGCATTACCATATGGTTTTATAGTCATGTTTCTCATGGGTTCACATACTCACAGAGATGGCAGAGAAATCCTGTAGTACATCCCAGTACGTACAAATGGATGAAGGGGAAATGAGTACATAATTTCTGTATTATCTTAAAGGAAGTCTAATTACACTTTTGAATATTCTCACCATTTGTTTTGACATAAAGCAGGGCCCCTTGCACACACACTTTTTCATTGATTGGAGAAAATTTAAACAAAATTAATCAATTTAAAAAAACTGTTTTAAAGGGCATTGTCCAGTGAACTAAGGAACTCACAAACTCTTAATGTGACAGCATGTATTTGCAGTTGTGCTTTATTGAAATTAATATAAAAATGCAATAAATCCCACAACTTTTCAGGAATAACCCACTAGGATGCTTAATCAGGCATCATGTGGTCAGACTGATGAAAAGCAGCACCTGTCTTAACAGGGTCTTAATGATATATGATGTCAGAGTCTAAACTGCCAATCACTCAGACATCAATGTTTTTCTCTTAAAACGGGGCTCCATATCCTTCTTCCTACTGTTAAGTATCCCTTGTACTCGAGTAATCTTGGAATCTTTCACTGGACTTAAAGGTGCCGCCTGCCAGTGTCTCTGAGGTCATTACTTAATCTGATGGTAATGCTTTAATCGCCGCATTAGCATACAATATACACTAACAGACTGCTCACTTCCTGCTCGAGAGCAACCGCAAAACCACGATCCCACAGGCTTAACGTCCTCTTCTCCGCAGCTTGCAACGGTTTAAATAAAACCTTGCTGTCGCCTTGGATTCCTTTTACCGCTTAGTTAGTTATACATAAGACGCTTCAGTGTACGCACAATAACTAAAGAAAATGCAATTAAGGCCTTATGACTGCTGGTAGTTTCGAAAGCATAAAAACTTTAAGTCTTAAATAAGTGGACTTGGTTGTGTTGAAATATTGTTTTGGTACTCGAGTCCAATTTTAGCAAAAGACAGTTGTAATCGTTAGACCCATGGAGGGAGTATGGCAACTTGTCTGGCCAACAGTTTGCCATTACTGAATCCCACTGGATGCCACTAAAAGGTTTTGTTTTTTACATTTTTAATGCAAAACACATTTTGATGTGGATACTCTATATAGGTTCCTACATTTTCCTCATTGTAGAGTGAACATAGCCTGAGTAAAGTGTATGTTTACAAGCTGTAAATAAAGATATCTCATACATGTTCCTTTCTCATGTCACTTTAATTGATACCTTGGTATATTATTACCTTGAGAATAATGCTAAGCAACTCTGTGTACGCACGCACGCGCGCGCACACACACACACACACACACACACGCACGCACACGCCTGTATCTTTGGTTTAAGTATGCAGCTTGCTCAGTTTACTCAAACTGAAACGACTGAAGACAAACATCTGTAATGTCATTAGAACATTGAGTCCTTTTAAGAGAAGATGAATAGAGGACATTTCAAAGTAAGAGCACTTGCTGAATTATTATTTAGTCCATTAGTATTTAGAACCATATAAACACTCCCTTTGGATCTCAGTAACGGCAGATGGTTGGAGACTCTTGGGTTTTATGGTGATGCTCTGTCATCACCATAAACGTTCCACCTGTGCCCTCTTCATGTCCACAGTTAATCCAAGAACTTGCGATTGGGGTTGGCACCAAACAGATTCATTCTGACTTCAGGCATCATCTGTCAAGAATAGAATCAAGATAGTAAGGATATAAATCACAACCATGTTTTTTTGGCCACAGCATTCAAACATTGTTACAGTTCAGTATTTGATATTCCTTTCCAGCTGTAAGAACACAAAGTTTGTCATTTGATTTTTTTGCCACTGTCTAAAAATGTTAAATCTCGTTTCTGGCATATATACTCATTTTGAATTCAATCAGTTTTTTCTATTTCAATCCCTGATATGTTGCCCTTCTACCAAAAAGGCTTTAAATGCACTCTGTCATTGTTTGCATTTTAAACAGCATCCCAAGTTTCTAAGTAACTATGTAATTTCTTAAAAACATCATTGCACTCTTTGTTTACATTTTACACAGGATGCCAGATTTCTAAGTATCCATGTAGTTTCCTAAAAACATCCAATGACAGAGTGGAATAATATGCACCCCGTCATTGTTTACATTTTACACAGCATCCCAAATTTCTAGGTAACTACGTCATTTCTGTGGCTCCTGTTCTGATCAAGGCCAACAAGTGCGAGTGCACATCCCGTTTATCTTTAAGCTTTTTCCACCTGGATGTGTAAGATCATTTGTACTGAATCTCTGTGAAAAGACAAAGGACTGCTCGAGCCCACCCACGTCTCATTCCACAGCCCACTTTGATCTTAAGTGGGTCAGACCAGTAAAATTCTCCTTTCTGTGATTTTAAAGAAGTTTAACTACATATATTGAGATATTTTAGGGACTAAATAAAGGTTAGAGGAGGTCAGCTTTTAAAACTCCAAAGCCATGGGCTGATTCCGGCTCTCCGGCTCTTACATTTGATGCTTCTGGTCTAGACCATTTGGGCCTTTAGAGAATCTTAAAATTATTTTTCTAATACCTATACATTAATAATACAATTGTTGCAGAAAATACTCAAAAGACCTTACTCCTGAACAAAGCTGAATAATTTACGAACATAAATCAGCAGTGACTGTAATTACTACACATTTGATTTCACAGCTTTACTCTAAAAAAATGAACCAGTTTTTGCGTTATTGACACGATGGCAACATTGAATACTCAAAGCAAGTTTAAATATAGTAAATCCGTTGTTAGCATGACAGTCTAGTCTTAATGATTAAATTGATTTTTCTGTCAGCTCTCCACCCTTCAGCAAATTAGATCCACTGGAAAGCAAGTTGGGCTCTGCTGCCCTCCACAGGCAAACAGCAGCTACTGCAGTGAGCAGCAGAAGATTTGGATGTGAGGTATATCATCGAAGTTACTTTACCTGTTGTGCAATGAGTTCTAGCCTGCTCTCCAAAGTGTTGGAAACCTTGATCTTCCCATTCTCATTATACACCTCGATTCCTCCACAGCTGTTAAGATAAAATGAAATGTCTAGTTTAAGTCTTGATGCATGCTCAATCATCCAGGTAAGTAAATCCCAAAAGGTTGATTCTGTTCTGTTCATCACATCATTCAGTGGTGCGAGTTTCAGTCATTGTGCAAATGTCCTGTTTATAAGGTTGGGGAAACCTGCAGTCAGCTGAGACTGAAGAAGTCACCTGGATGAGTGACGAAACGTTTCTCCCACTGAAAACGTCCAGATGAACAGAATCAACCTTTTGGGAGGTCTAGTGTAAGGTTCAAAGTTCAAACCAAGCATCAGAATGTGGTGTGGTTGTGGTGCCAGGCATGCTGGACTGAGCATTTCACAAATGTCTGATCTACTGATCACAAGTTGAGCAGTATGTGGATCTTTCCACATAACCATCTGTAGGGTTTATAGATCCAATGAGCAGCAGTTCTCTGGGTGATAGTATGTTGCTGATGCCAGAGGTAGGACGAGAACTGATTTGAGGTGATAGGAAGGCAACAGTAACTCAAATAACCACTAGTTAACAAAAAGAGCACCTCCAAACACACAACATGTCAAACCTTGAAGCAGATGGTCTACACACCAGGGCCCCTCCTATCAGCTAAGAACAGTAAACTGAGGCTATAATTTGAGTGGGCTCACAAAATTAGATAACAGAGGTTTGTGAAATGTTGCCTGGTTTGATAGGGTCACAGTGCGGTAAAAACAACATGAAAGCATGGCCACGCATCAGTGCTTCAGGCTGCTGGTGGTGCAACGGTGTGGAGGACAGTTTCTGTAAATGAGCCACAGTATACGCCTGAGCATCTTTGCTGAGCATGTCCATGCCTTTATGACCACAGTAACCGCTGCTCGCAGCAGGACATTGTGCGATGTCACAAAGCTCATATCCTCTAAGAATGTGTCCACGGTACTCAAATGGCTCCGACAGTCACTAGATTATAATCCACTGAAATACGGTTAAACGGGAAGTTTGCATCATATGATCTCTAACAACTATGTGACGACATCATGTCAACGTGGACCAAAAAGTCTGAGGAATGTTCCAACACCTTGTGGAGACTACTCCACAAAGACAAAGTTGTTCCAACCCCCAAAGTCAACCTAAAGCTGAGCAGTGACTACAGTGTGTTTGTCATATTTGATTAAAAATGCAAAAATTCCTGCATCTCAATCTTGACAATACAAAATAGATAATCTGTAACAATCACATGACCTCCTTCTTTCTGAAGAACTGAATCATCTTACATCTGAGCTGGAAGAAAACGTTCCTTGTCGATTTTGACAGTTATATTACTCTTCACCGCCTCTTTGTAGATCGGGATGTTCTTATTGACTGCAGCCTGTTTGGTAATAAAGAGAGAAAACAACTATGTTTTATTGTGCATTCGACAAAAGAGGCAGATGGCCTGTTCCTTCTTTTCTAAATAACTAGTCAGAACAGCTTCACCTGAACAAATTCAACATCCTGCGGTCGGCAGCGAATGGTAACCTTAGGCTCCAGCAGTCGGTAGAATCCCTGAAACATTAAAAAAAGCTCACTTTTTAAATATAGAAAACTGAATAATATATTAACAGTTGGTTTGCAATCATAGATCACAATGGTAGATTATACCTGAAGCACTAGGCCCTCCAACAGACTGGAGTACTTAGCAGGGTCCTTAGCAATCTCTGCAAGTCTCCGACGGGCCTCGTTTAACAGATCCTGCGACAAAAACAGGCAACTGGATACATTAGAAATTGATATACGACTCATGAATTATGGTACGCAAAATCATATTTATCTTGCATCTGAGCACAGTTTTTACAAATATTTAACTGGAACGTGTCTTTTTCACTGTACTGGAGTAGTGAAGGTCAAGTAGAGGACACAACATTTACACATTATTTCCATGTGTAAATACGTGCACAACAATTTAGTGCAAGAATGA